GACTGTCGGGCGGCTCGGCGGTCAGCTGCTGGGCGGCTCAGCGGCTTGGCTGCTGGGCGGCTCGGCAGCTCTGCTGCTGGGCGGCTCGGCTGTCGGGCGGCTCGGCGGCTCGGCGGCTCGGGTGGCTTGGCGGCTCTGCTGCTGGGTGGCTCGGCTGTCGCGCGGCTTGGCGGCTCTGCTGCTGGGCGGCTCGGCTGCTCTGCTGGTGGGCGGCTCGGCGGCTCTGCTGCTGGGCAGCTCGGTAGGGGCGGCTTGGGGCCGTTTAGGGACGGCGATAGGGCCGTGTAGGGGCGGCCACGGGGCCGCTTAGGGTCGGCGACGGGGCCGCTAAGGCGCGGCGACGGGGCCGCTAGGTGCGGCGACGGGGCAAGCAGGGGCGGCGACGGGGCCGCTAGGTGCGGCGACGGGGCCGCGTATGGGCGGCGACGGGGCCGCGTAGGGTGAGGGGCGACGACGGGGCCGCTGGGGGCGGCGACGGGGCCGCTAAGGGCGGCGACGGGGCCGCGGAGGGGCGGCGACGGGGCCGCGTAGGGGCGGCGACGGGGCCGCGTAGGGTGAGAGGCGGCGACGGGGCCGCTAGGGGCGGCGACGGGGCCGCTAAGGGCGGCGACGGGGCCGCGGAGGGGCGGCGACGGGGCCGCTAGGGGCGGCGACGGGGCCGCGTAGGGTGAGAGGCGGCGACGGGGCCGCTAGGGGCGGCGACGGGGCCGCTAAGGGCGGCGACGTAGCCGCGGAGGGGCGGCGATGGGGCCGCTAGGGGCGGCGACGGGGCCGCGTAGGGTGAGAGGCGGCGACGGGGCCGCTAGGGGCGGCGACCGGGCCGTCAAGGGCGGCGACGGGGCCGCTTAGGGGCGGTAACGGGGCCGCGTGAGGGGCGACGACGAGGCCGCTAGGGGCCACTAGGGGCCTGGAAAGGGCGGAACAAAACGCGCCTCGGGCAGGAGGGATTGGCGCTCCGGTCAGAAGGGAAGTTTTCAGTGGTGGGCCCAAGGTAGCGTTCCCACTAGGGAACCTGCTCTATACCATGTAAAGAATGAGGAATGAATGAACTAGCAAGCAGGTGGGTACAAGTAGGAAAACCTAGAAGTGTTGTACCCCATATTGTCTACCCCACTATAGCCTACACAGACTATAGTATAAGAGTTTGATAGCGAGAGCTAGAGCAAGGGGCAATGAGGCACATAACCAACAATAACAACGCAATCTACACTGCAGTAACAATAATATGCAATTCATATATAACATAGTTAAACACAGCCCATAACCTGCCTGTTCCGGAAAACAGTACAAAAAACACCCCTGACGGAGCATACCAGGTGCAGCGGAAGATGTGGCAGCAGACATGTGCAATGGTGGCAGATGCTCGGCGATTGCAGATGCAACAGCGTCAGGTGTGGCGACTGCAGTAGGCAGCAGCGCAGTGTGATCTTGGCGGTAGCAGTAGCGGAAGTAGCAGTTGGCAGCTGACAGTTACTGTTGATGCTCGACAACGGCATGAAAGGAGGAGGCGGTGGAAGGGCGGGCGCACAGAAGTGAGAGAGAGGACTGAGGAGTAGGTGGGCGGAGAATGGAGTAGGTGGGCGATGGTTGGTGCTGCAAACTCACTCCCGCCAGCCCCTAAACCTCCCCCCCACTATGGTAGGCGAGGCAGAAGGCGACGGCTGACGCTGCAGGCCCGAGAAGAGGAAGAGCGGGGAGGGAGGGGGAGGGGGGGGGGGGGGGGTTGGGCGGCTAAGGAGGATTGAGCACCCCCTTTGCCTCATCCACCAAACCTGCCACCTCCCCCCGACAGCAACAGCCGCGGTTGGGGTGAGGCACGGCAGCGCCAGCAGACTCACAGAAACCCCCCCCCCCCCCCCCCCCTCTTCCACTCCCACTGCGAGAGGATCGATAGGGGCAGGGAGGTGTAGCAGGCTAAGCAGGTGCGCTGCACCGGGGTCGACGGGGTTGTCGGAGGCCTGTTAGAAACCTAAGCCAAGTTAGGGCTTAGGTTTTAGGAAGGAGAAATGGAAGAAGAGGGGGTTTGCACTAGCAGGCAGGTGAGATACATGTAGGAACCCTAAAAGGGTTGTACTCTCTAAGGAATGACCCCACTAAAGCGTACAGAGCAAATAACAATTTGACACACCCCCATAGGCGAAGTGGGGGATAGCCAACACAACAAGCAGTCGCAGAACCACATCACAAGCAAAGCCTTGTGGCAAAAGCAGAGGGCAAATGAGGAGGAGGAGGAAACTGGAGAGGAGAGGAGGTGGGCGGCCGCTGAAGCTGCTGGCTCTAGTCGCAAACGGCGTAAGTGGCTCTGCTCGCCGGCAAGAGCAACTGACCCTCTGGGGACCGGCGCAACGGGTAACCGGAGTAACTGGCTCGCTCGCCGGCAAGAGCAACTGACCCACGGGCCTCTGACGCAACGGTCTCACGGGCGACTAGAGCTGCGGACTTCACGGCGGCCACCCGCCCTCACCCCCCTCGTATTGTCCCACCCCCTCGGTTTCGCATCCCCCCCGGCTAGCGCCACTCCCCAACCTCACCCACTCCACCCCCCCCTCAGCGGCAGCTGCAGCAGTAGGAGAGAGAGGAGGAGGAGGGGCAGCTGGTCACGCACTCCCACCACCCCCATACCCCCCCTTACCCCCGCCTCCCCCATACCCTCCACACGGCTGCACGCGCAGCAGGAAGTCGAGGGGGAGGGGGGAGGGCGGGCGGCGTCGCAACGTGCAGGGCGCGGGCGGGCAGGCGGGTCCCCAGGGGCGGCACGCGGGTCCAGCAGGGCAGCGCGCAGGTCCAGCAGAGGCGGCGCGCGGGTCCCGCAGGGCGTCGCGCGGGTCCAGCGGGGCAACACGCGAGCCCCGCAGGGCGTCGCGCGGTTCCAGCGGAGGCGGCGGGCGGGTCCCGCAGAGCGTCGCGCGGGTCCAGGAGGGGCGACGTGCGGGTCCCCAGGGGCGGCGCGCGGGTCCAGCGGGGCAGCGCGCAGGTCAGATGGGGCGACGCGCCGAGCAGAAAACGCGCGCGGCGAGCAGGAAACAGCCAGGCGCCCCGAGCGCGTGGCGGGCAGAAAACCGCCACGCGCCCCGAGCACGTGGCGGGAAGGAAAAACGTCTCGCGCCACGGGGCGCGTGACAGACAGTACAGCAGCGGAAGCAGGTGGGCCCACAGGCCAGGAGCGTAGACGCTCTAATAGCATGTTAGAATCCTAAGCCAAGTTAGGGCTTAGGTTTTAGGAAGGAGAAATGGAAGAAGAGGGGGTTTGCACTAGCAGGCAGTTGGGATACATGTAGGAACCCTAAAAGGGTTGTACTCTCTAAGGAATGACCCCACTACAGCCTACAGAGCAAATAACAATTTGACAAGGCCATGTCAAGGCTGCGACGAGGCCATCACGCAGTGTTATATGCTCGTGCATCAGCAGCAGTGATAACGCAGCTACTGTTGAGTTCGTGCGCTAAGGGCGCCATTTTTTAAAGGAAACGGAATCAAGAAAGAGTTTCCTTGATAATTTTACTACTTCAGCAGCAGCGATTGCGCAACTGCTGCAACGCTCATGCGATAGAGGCGCCAATTTCAAAAGAGAGAGAAAGAAAGAAAGGAAGAAAGAAAGAAAGAAAGAAAGAAAGAAAGAAAGAAATAAAGAAAGAAAGAAAGGCCTGCATCTTTTTACTGCTTCGATATCATGTCCAACATAATCAAAACTGTGAAGAAATGAGGAATGAATGAACTAGCAAGCAGGTGGGTACAAGTAGGAAAACCTAAAAGTGTTGTACCCCATATTGTCTACCCCACTACAGCCTACACAGACTATAGCATATGAGTTTGACACACCCCCATAGGCAAAATGGGGGAGAACAAGATGTCACAAGACCAGTCAAGCAAAGCAAAGCAAGCTCAGGGTGGATCACAATGTCACCACATAGTCCGAGCACAAGAGCAAAGCCACAAGGCCAGTTCACATGCAAGATCATATATAAAGGTAAACAAGCAAGTGCAGGTATAGAAAGATCACAGTACAAGCAAGGTCAAGAAGTGAGCAAGTGAGGCCAAGTAGGCAGAAGACCTAGCATCGTACAGAAGCGCTGATGATCACAAGGCGGAAGTGCCTTGGTAAAGATATCAGCAGTGTTGGCCTCAGAGGCCACGTAAGCAAGGCGCAGCTGACCACGCTGCTGCAGCTCACGAGCAAGGAAGTAGCAAAGAGCAATGTGCTTCGTTCTGTGCTCCAGTCTGTGCTCCCGACACAAGGCCAGCATGGCCTTTTTGTCTACGTACAGGACTGGAGGAGAACGAGGCGGCTCTCCTAGGTCAGTCAGCAGGTAGGTGAGCCAGCGTAGCTCCTATGCAACCATGGCCCCCGCGTAGATCTCAGCCTCACAGCTGGAGCCGAGAACAGAAGACGAGCGAGTAGACCGCCACGAAACAGAGCCGGAGCCAAGGCTGAAGGTGTAACCCTGTGACGACCGCTGCGTAGCCTGGTCGTCAGCCCAAGAAGCGTCTGCGTGACCTGTGAGGACCACTCGACGTCGCCCTCCGAGCACTCCAGTTGAAAACTCCCCGCCTCTGTCAGAGTGCAGACGCAGAACAGGAAAGTCCGAGCCGAAACTCTCTCTGAGCTGGAAACGAGCTGCGCGGATCCAGACGATCAACACCTCAGTGACGTCACCCTTGTTGTGCAAGGGGAACACCGTGGTGTAACGCGAGTAGTCGTCAACCACCAACAGGAAGTAATGCTCATGACCCTGGCCACGGACGCGGGCGGGGCCCCACACGTCCATGTGAAGAGTCTGCAGGGGAGCCTCTGTCGGAGGAAACTCGGAGGAGTGAGGAGCGGCGCGCTGCCGCCCCTCGACGCAGGGAACGCAGGTAGGGGCAGGCCCCGGAGGGAGGGGAGGGAGGGACCGGCGGTGGTGCCAAAGGAGAGTCTGGTGGGACAGGAGACGACACGAGCAGGGAGCAGACTCAGGACCAGACCTGGACTCTGCAGTAAACACCTGACTCGACGCAGCTACCTAACCTGACTCAGCAACCGGAGCAGACTCAGTAGTCAGTGTGTACAGGCTCGACCCTGGCCGACGGGTAAACGTGGCCAAGTGTCGGCCCGTCCGAGCACACGTGCAGTGGGTCACCCGCTGACTCGCAGGAGTGAACTGGTCAACCCCCCTATCCTGTAGGTCAGCACCATTCACCAAGTTCGTAGAGAACGAAGGGAGGTAGAGACCTGACAGGGTGCCAGAGGGGGCTGGCGGACACGGTAAGACAGTGGAGAAGCGAGCAAGGATAAGACCCCTAGAGGGGTCCACCAGGGATACCGCAACCGGCCGACTAAGCGGCGTAAGCGTGGTGTGGTCTCGAAAGAAGGAGCGGGAAGCACCCGAGTCAAGGGTGAAGGTGTGTAAGGCCTGAGCCGACGTGGTACTTGAGAGAGCAGACTCACCAGCACCTGGGGCAGCAGACGCACTAGCACCTAGAGCAACAGCCTCACCAGCACCTAGAGCAGCAGCCTCAATGCCCTGGTCAGGGGAACACACAGGTAACAGTCACCCTCATCACTAGCAGACACAGCATACATGGCACCAAGAATAGCATCATAGTCAAGATCAAAGATAGCAACCCCCGCCCTAGACAGCTCTCCCTAGCGAGGGATCTCAGTGGCGTCAGGGAACTGGTGGCGCCAAGCGTCCGTCAGGCGGCCGAAGCAGCGCTGGGTGGAGTGCAAGCCCCCGCACTGCTCACCAGTGCGGTCGCCGGTACAAAGGACGTAGGTACAGAGACCAGTACCCCCACCTCGCTGACGCGCAGCGTACCACTCATGAAGCTGCTGGGGGGACGGGGTCTCATGAGTGCGCTGCTGCTGCTGGCGCTGACCACCACCGGAGCCACTCCTGTGTGCAGAGCCGCTACCAGTTCCACTGCCGCCGCCGCAGCGGCCGCATCCGCCGCCTCCGCTCCCACCGCCACCGCCGCCACCTGCTCCGCCTCCACTGCTGCCACCAACACCTCCACCCCCGCCACCACTCCCACCACCACCCCCACCCCCTCCACTGCCTCCACCGCCACCTCCACCGCCCCCGCCAGCCCCTCCAGCGCCCTTGCCCTCCTTGCCCTTGCCTGTGCGGCGTCTCCTGCTAGGGGCAGACGCAGCGCCGACCGACTCGAAACCAACGAGGTCGGCCGCAGCAGCAGAAGCAACAGAGGGCAAAAGGGGGGAGGGGGAACACCCCTCAAATACGGGGGTACAAGGGTCACCACGAGAGGCTCCTACAGCGACTATGCTCTTCTCTGATGCTAGGAGGCGCTCCTCAAGGAGGTCAACGGTGAGTGTGGTGGGGCAAACTGAGAGGAAGTGGTCCTTGACTAAGCGAAGGGAGTCAGGGAGTCGGGTGACTATGTAGTAGAGGGTGATGTACATGGGGGGAGGGTTCTTGGCACAGAACTCAGCAGGAAGCGCAGCGCGGTAGCGAGTGTCACTAGTGCGAAGGTGCGTAATGAGGTCAGCGACTGTGGGAAAGGCAGCAAGGTCAGGGAACAGGTACGGCAGCATGAGGCGGCTAAGAGCAGCAGTGGCAGGGGAAGAGTAGCGTGCAACTACAGCGTCGTACAAGGTCGTAGCACTCTTGTACTGACTAAAGTGCGCACGCTCAGCGGTCGGTAAGTGGCGACGCACAGCAAGACGGGCAGCAGCATCGCGTGTGGCCCACTGTGAGCGAACAGTGCTGTCAGCAGTAGCAGGCGGGGCACCAGAGGTGAGATCAAACAGGGAGAGTCCGTCTGCCCTATCGCACTGTAGGAAGAGTTGGAGGTCATCGACCCAGACCTCAAAGTCAACAGCACGACCCTCAGCATTAAAGGTAAGGACACTGGGGGTAGCCATGACAGCAATGGTCTAACAGGGAGTGCTCTCACCAGTCCGGGCGGGAAGGGCCGGTGCGCGCCGGCAGGAACAGTAGCGGCTCGACGGCAGCTCGGCGGCTCGGCAGGTGGGCGGCTCGGCTGCTGGGCGGCTCGGCTGCTAGGCGGCTCGGCTGGTGGGCGGCTCGGCTGCTGGTCGGCTCGGCTACTGGGCGGCTCGGCTGCTGGGCGGCTCGGCTGCTGGGCGGCTCGGCTGCTGGGCGGCTCGGCTGCTGGGCGGTTCAGCTGCTTGGGCGGCGCGGCTGCTGGGCGGCTCGGCGGCTGGGCGGCTCGGCGGCTCGGTGGTTCGGCCGCTTGGCAGCTGAAAGGGGGGGGCCGTGAAGGGCGGTGACGGGGCCGCTAGGGGCGGCGACGGGGCCGATAGGGGCGGCGAGGGGGCCGCTAGGAGCGGCGATGGGGCCGATAAGGGCGGCAACGGGGCCGTTAGGGGCGGCGACGAGGCCGCAAAGGGGCCGAGAGGGGCCTCGAAGGGCTGCGACGGGGCCGCTAGGGGCGGCGACGGGGTCGCGAAGGGGCCGCGAGGGGCCTCAAAGGGCGGCGACGGGGCCAGTAGGAGCGGCGACGGGGCCGCTAGAGGCGGCGACGGGGCCGATAGGGGCGGCGACGGGGCCGATAGGGGCGGCGGCGGGGCCGCTAGGGGCGGCGACAGGGCCGCAAAGGGGCCGAGAGGGGCCTCGAAGGGCGGCGACGGGGCCGCTAGGGGCGGCGACGGGGCCGCGAAGGGGCCGCGAGGGGCCTAGAGGGGGCGGCGACGGGGCCGCAAAGGACGGCGACGGGGCCGTAAGGGGTGGCGACGGGGCCGCTAAGGACACCGACGGGGCCGTAAGGGGTGGCGACGGGGCCGCTAAGGACGCCGACGGGGCCGTAAGGGGTGGCGACGGGGCCGCTAAGGGTGGCGCGAGGGGGGCCGTGAGAGGCGACGTGAGGGCGGCCAACGGGGCGCACCTCGGGCAGGGGCGACTCGCGCTCCGGTCAGGAAAGCAAATTCAGTGGTGGGCCCTGAGAAGCGTTCCCACTAGGGAACCTGCTCTATACCATGTGAAGAAATGAGGAATGAATGAACCAGCAAGCAGGTGGGTACAAGTAGGAAAACCTAAAAGTGTTGTACCCCATATTGTCTACCCCACTACAGCCTACACAGACTATAGCATATGAGTTTGACAAAAACATCGTTTTGTCCTAGGCCTTAGGGCAATTGTCGGTAGCAATGAAGAGAGTTTAATTATAATATATAGCAAAACGAGTATTAGGAGCGAGAGCAAGAGCAATGGGCAAGGAGGTACACCACCAATAGTAACAACGCAATGTACAATAAAGGCAATTTAGATAAATTATAGGTTGACAATATGAGGTACAACTCAAGGCGTTACTCTTTGCCTAGTGAGTTTAATTAAACAAAATCAAATCAATCATAGTGTACAAAGATCAAGATCCTAACAAGTGAGGTCCTGCTGGGACAAGGCCAAGCTGTATGCAAAGCCGCTGATGCTCACGGGAGCGCCTTAGTGGAGATATCAGCGGTATTGGCCCCTGGGGCCAAGTGTACGATATGTGCCTGGCCGCGGTGCTACAACTCACGTAGCAGGAAGTACCGCAGCTGGATATGCTTTGCTCTGACCTCTAGGATCATGACCTTGTTATCAACGAACAAGGCTGGGGCACAGCTAGGCAGATCACCTAAGTCAGCGAGCATGAATGTCAACTAGCGGAGCTCCTAAACAACCATAGAACAGGCGTAGATCTCTATCTCACTGTTGGACCATGCTACCGACGACGAGCGAGTGGACCTCCACGAGATAGCTCCAAGGCCAAGACTAAACCAGTAGCTAAGAGAGGACATGAGAGTCTTAATTTCATCTACCCACGACACTTCAGTTTGTCCCATGGGTGTTGTCGTCCTCCAAGCACAAGCCCCATGCTTGATATAGTATTCAGATAACGCAATACCCTCATAGTAGCTGACCATTGCTAAGCACGGTGCCTCCTAATCGCAACAACGCGAGCAAGGAGGTTTAGAGGATATGCGAGATTTGGGCGAGTGCATGTCATCAGGTACATGACGCACCCTACCAGCTCAGTGTACTGGCAACTAATCTCAAGAGGCTTGTCAAGGACAAACGCCAACAGCATATGGTCAACAGTTAGAGGAGTGGGTTGTGCAGAGGAGAATTGAATGTTGAAGCATTGGAGGATCTGATGCACCATTTGTGTCTAACTCAAAGTAATGATGCACGTCGCCCTAGTGATATGCAGGCCAAGATAATGGCGCAGCTCAAATGGTCAATGCAAGCATGTCGGCCTTCACCGAGGCCATTGCAACCCCGTCTAGAATAGCGAACACTAGGTTCTTTACATAGACCAGAATGTAGAGCAGGGTAGAGCCAGAGCAAACAAAGAGAGAAGGGCCAGCAGAGGACGGGAAGAAATGCAGGTTAGCTAGAGCAGTGTCCGAGACTACCTCAGCATAGGTGCGAAGGGTCGAGAGGTAAAGAGTGTCTGGGTCACCCTCTAGGGCTAGCAGCATGGCGCAGAGATGAGGAGCAACGGTCGAAAGGAACACCAGCTTGTATTGTCTGTCCTCTAGGACATCACTGCCAATGGCAGGAGCACCACTAGAACCAATAGGCCTAGTGCCAGCACCCTTAGAGTCCACAGCGACCAGCGCGGCGGTGGCGAAGGTTGTAGTGGCAACGGAGGCTGCAGCGGCGACTTGAAGGTCATCGCCAATGATGAGGGTGAGGCGGTAAAGGTGAAGACATAAGAGGTGCACTCCCACGTACCGAAGCTCCAAAGTTAGCAGACTCCCCCACAGGCCCAACCGAGAGAAGGGGGGTGACGTACAACATACCAGACGGAGCTGGACACGGGGGTAGGGAAACTTGCGGATGAGTGGGACCGTGAGGGGGGGAGAGGGGGGGGGGGGAGTGGGACTGAGAATGAGGGAAGGGGGGGAGAATCTGGGTACCTCGGTGAGGGAAGCGATTGTAGAAGCAGATCGACTCATAAAAGGCAACATCGCAAGATTTGTGAAAACAGTGAGGCGAAGGGTGGTAGAATTTCTAGCCAGGTTTGTCAAGAGGGAAACCAAGGAAGATACACATGAGAGTGTGGCCTGAGAGTTGTCTGCGGGAGGATCACGGGTGTGAGCAAGGCAGTCCCAGACGCACAATGCAGGCGCAACACCAATGGTCCCAGAACTGAGGAGGGTCAGCGAAACTTGCAGCCATGAGATACGGGGCCACATGTTAAGTTGGTGCGCGATGCAGTCGCAAACTACCACAGAATTTAGGAGGCGCTTGCATTAAACATGGAGGCAGGAGCGATCTCTATGACCAAGCCAATGTAATGCTTGGCTACTCCGTTGTATTGCCGCGAGTCACAGAGCAAGTACATCTGGGTGATTCCCTTTCCACGACAGAACTGGCAAGAGCGACCAGTGGCAAACTCACCACCACTATCAGAGTGCAGACGAAACATAGGCAGGGCGCGCTGGTTGCAGACGCCTATTACGCACGGGAAGAGAACGTCATGCACGTCAGCCATCCGCTCTTAGGGAAACACAATGGTCTAACTAAAGTAGTTGTCCACAATGACCAGGCAGAAGCGGTCCCAGCATAGCCCAATGCCCCAGACACCCATATGCAAGGTCTGAAAAGGCGCAGTGGTAGGATGAAACGATATGTGAGGGGCGGCACACTGCCTGCCCTCGACGCAAAGGGTGCATGGCGGCACAGTCGATGGAGGGAGAGCAGGGAGTGATGACAGGGGACCGTAGACAAGACCGTGCTGGGCTATGTGACCGAGACCTGGAAGGGCGGGGTGACCTTGACAATGGTACCATAGAAGTGACGAGTGAATGAGCGATCGAGACAAGCACGATGCATCTACCTGACCAGACGCGGGAACCTAGGCGAAGGCATTGTGCAACGCGAAGACCTGACATAGGGTCTAGGGAGAACGTGGCAAGATATGCCCCATTGGTAGCGTCCGTAGAGGTCGCGAACCGCTCGTGTCGAAGAAACATGGTGGTGACACCAAGGTCCTGAAGACGATTGAAACCCACCGAGCTGCAAGAGAACGAGGGGATGTGTAGACATGTGAGGGAGCCAGATGGGGCTGCCGTCACGGGAGTGCCGTAGCGCCGCGTGCGATGACCTGGCCAGAGGAGGGGTCGTCATGGGAGACTATGACCGGAGCTAGGAGCGGCGAGACGGTGGTTCGGTCACGGAAGAAACTGGGACTTGCCGAAGTCGAGAGTGAAGGAGTGGGGCGCGTCGGTCGTGGACGCACTTGGGCAGGAAACAACATAGGATCCTACACTAGACACAAGAATATAACCTAGTCTAGGCGCACACAAACAAATAGAATCTGGCAAGACTAAAGTCATCAGCGTACATGGCAAAGAAGGCATATTATATCTGAGACATGTCAAGATCAAACACATCCAAACCAGTGCGTAATAGTGCTGGTAGTGTCAAAACTTAGGCTTAGAAGCGATGCATTAGTAATGAGCTTGAAGCTCTTTAAGTACATCCAAGAAGGGTAAGGAATAGTTGGGGAAGCGAATCAGAGGCAATCCCTAGGGATTGGGGCTAATCCCAAGGCAATCTCCAATTGGTGGGTTGGAGATTGCTTGGAGATTACATTTGGGTTTGGTTGGGATGTAGGTGTACACCCAACCAAACACAATGTGCAAACTACACTACTCTAGGATATAGAAAATACAAGGTACAAATTGTGAGATTGAAGGCTAACACTAACACCCCCCCATAGGTGTAAATCGAACTCAGGGTGGAGCACAGAGCCCCATGGCGCCAAGGAGATGGTGGTGGGGAACTTTCCCAAGGGGCTTGGTGAATAGATCAGCCAGGTTGCAGCCAGATGCAACGTACTCCACTTTCAACTGCTCCTGCTGGACAAGGTCACGAATGAAGAAGTGCTGGAGTTCAATATGTTTGGTGC